GGCACAATACTGACTACGACGACCAGGAGGAGGACCACTAGCCTAGGACTGGGACAACGCGGCTGCAGCGGCTGCTGCCAGCGCTGCTGCTGCAACGCATCTGCTAGTTTGCGCGGGCAGTACCTAAACTGGAGTACTCAGCTGACGGCATCTGCGCACCACTCGCTGAACTCGCTGAACCTCGCTGAAACTCGCTAAACTCGCTAAAACTCGCTAAAATCGCTGGAACTCGCTGAAACGCGCGAAACTCGCTGAAACTCGCTGGAACTCGCTGGAACTCACTGAAATTCGTTGAAACTGGCTAAAACTCGCTGGAACTCACTGTAACTCGCTGAAACGCGCTAACTCGCTGAAACTCGCTGAACTCGCTGAACTCGCTGACTCGCTGACTCACTGAAACTCGCTGAAACTCACTGGAACTCGCTGAAACTTGTTGCATGGAACTCGCTGAAACTCGCTGGAAATCGCTGAAACTCGCTGGAACTCGCTGAAACTCGCTAAACTCGCTGAAACTCACCCTTGCTGAAACTTGCTAAACTCACTGAAACTCGCTCTTGCTGAAACTCGCTGGAACTCACTGAAACTCGCTGAAACTCGCTGGAACTCGCTGAAACTCGCTGAAACTCGCTGAAACTCGCTAAAACTCGCTGAAACTCCCTCAAACTCGCTCGAACTTGCTAAACCTCGCTGAACCTCGCTGAAACTCGCTGGAACTTGCTGAAAGTCGCTAAACTCGCTGAAGCTCGCAAAACTCGCTAAACTCGCTAAACTCGCCGACCTCGCTGAAACTCGCTCTCGCTGAAACTCGCTGAAACTCGCTGGAACTCGCTGAAACTTGTTGGAACTCGCTAAACTCGCTAAACTCGCCGGAACTCGCCCAACTCGCTAAACTCGTTGAACACGCTGAACTCGCTGGAACTGGCTGAAACTCGCTGGAACTCGCTGAAACTCGATGGAACTCGCTGAAACTCGCTAAACTCGCCGAAGCTTGCTGAACTCGCTCAAACTCCCTAAACTCGCTAAACTCGTAAGATTCGCTAAGCTCGCTGTACTACAGCTTACCAAGAATCTGCATAACTCCTTGTATGAGGCACCTGCAACAACTTAGGATAACTTGGGTCCCAGCAGGAAAAAGAAGCGCGACGGACGAAATTCCCCAAGTGTATTTGCTACCAGCGATCAGCTGGAATCTGAAACATTAGGCCAGTCAACAGGCCCTTCATAGCATGCGCGGCGGGCCTCCGTGCTGGAAGAAGGCAAGCGCGGAGCCTGCACCGGGCAAAACGTGTGATTGGGGTGGGCATGGTTGGATTTGGGACTTGGAGTCTATCTGGTTCTGTCTGTAGGCACGGGTTCAGCGATGATCAAGGTCCGAAGACAGGCGCCATACTACCAACTACCAGGCGCAAGATGAGAATTTCAAATAGGCTAAGAGCAAAGCTCTTGCTTCCCGCTGCTTTCTGTCATGCCGGCTGACATAGTGAATATGCTCCAGATGGCAGAGCTCAAAGGTCCAGGCCTCGGATTTGAAAGAGCCTCTTGCTGCATCGCCGGAAGTCTCCTGAACACGTTAGCGTGGTCTGCAAATGGCCTCTTGCGTGGCAGGGAAGGCCGCTGTCTAGGCTGGCATGATGTTTAGTTTAGCCACCAGTAGTGCGAATAACCCTGACGTGAGCTGAACTCAATTACTGCCTCTGGTTGACGTTTCAAAGTGCAGTGGCAAGATTCACACATGGTAAGGCAGCTCTTTTGGAGTCATTGGATTAGCCCGTCAGAGCCGCCTACCTCTGTCACTCAAGGGCCCAAGTCTGCAGGCTTGGGATCTACGAAAAGCCTCTAGTTCCGCAAGAGATGTATGGGGAACATGAGAAGATTATGAAGTTTGCCCTGGGGCGCTTCCAGCTCATGGTGTGCATAGGCCTTCACCGTATCAGCATGAGGCAGGGCCGGTGCAGGCATGGACGAGCTGCTCTCACCTGCGCTGCTTCTCCAATACGCGTGGCCACTGAATCCACAGGAATTTGAAGGGCTTTGGGCACTGTGATGAAACTACCTGGCCTCTTCCTGACCGTTAATACTTCCGAGACAAACTCATCTGAATCCAATACGGGCAGCAACCAGGGTGGCTCCAGGAGAGCTCAATGCGTGTAATTTGGTGTCACAGCAACCAGATGCAGCCAAGGATGCTCCCAACAAGCAGTGAAGCCACAACCCCGCCCGACTCACCCCACTACCCCGTTTAGCCATGATTTTTTCGGCGTAATTCACGATTATTCTCTCACATAATAATTCTGGAGCCAAAAGGGCACAAGGCCTCCAGGCGCCCCAGGGCCCTGGAAGAAGCGCTCCCCAGTCTTCGAGCCACCAAAAGCACCACCCTTGGTCTCAGAGCAGGTAAGGTTTCCCTCATGGAGTTCGTGGGTGGATGAAGGGTTCCCTGAGGTCTGTGGTGAGAAAAGATCCCGGCGATCTACGGGGTCATGGGCAGCGCATGCCTCGCGAAAAGTGACATGAGCGGATGGTATACTGTAAAAATATGGGAGACTCCAGTATCCCTCTTTAAACTCCGAGTTGGGAGCGGCACTTCAATAGAAAGATCCTGGCGTGGGCTACCTAGACTTCAAACCCCAAAGCCGCTAAAAGGAGCCAGACGGACTGCATTATGCTGCATACTTCGGGGGTTCTGGTAGAGCTCTGCCGCGATTGCATCCCTTCAGTGGCTAGGTGCACAAATGTGATGGTTGGAGCCCGCAAATTGCAAACTGAAAGTTTGCAGTCGGGCCACCTGCGCAATCTTCGCCAGCTGCCGAAGTTTAGCAGATATCGACTGGCCTTGGTGCACCAAGGCTCCTGGGGCCAAACTGAAGGCCTCTTTTTGCTTTGCACATATATTGGGGTAATGGAAAAGAAAATGAAACTACTATTTAGGGTTTGGGGTTTGGGGTTTGAGGCAAAAAGTCCATTCCTCTAGTTCTCCGGAACTCCCTCAGGACAACTGTTCAATACAAAGTTGACCTCTGGGCTTGCGTCTACCTACGTTATCATGCTAGGAATGCTAAGCCTGCTACAGCCCACAATAATAATCGGAGGCGGTCACTATGACATCGAAGCAACCAGGCCCTTGGCTCTGGAAACCCCACCAGCCGGCAAATGCAAATCCTCAGACCCCTGAAAGTACCCCAACATTTCTCGGAACTCCAAGTCACCAAGGGAGCTCTCGGGATCGTAGCTGCCCGGTGCGGCAGAACTCTTGCTGACCTGAGAGCGCAGGCTCCGGCTTTGTTGAGCAGCCTCAAAAGGTTTATGCTGAAAATAACGATGGCTGCAATCTGCCATTGCAAGGACACAGATGTCTGCCACCAGCAAAGCTACTGCGCCAAGCTTGGCCTATAGCGCTCTGGGCACTGCATGCAGAATGTCAAAGCCAGCTGGTTGAGTCTCGCCAGCGGATGCGGCAGAACTCACACGAGACTTGAACCAAGTCCGAGACATGATGGCACTTGCACTCTCACATGCGGAAAATGAAGAAGCATGTCAACCCTGTACCCCCTACTACAATCTATACCAACACCCCAATCCTCAACACCCGAAAACGAACAAAATCCTGCGCCCTCAGCATCAGAAAGAACACAAGGAAAATCATTCCGCTGCCATGGGAGCCGTCACGGGTCGCTGCGGGCTCCTAGAGCCGAAGCCGGCCAGATGGGCACCGTCCTCATGGGATGTTCGAGAGAGATTTGTTGAGGAGGGGTTTTTTGCGCCGTCGGAGAATGTGTGGCCACACATCTGCGAAGACCCACAGAAGGTCTTCCGGCTGTGGATCCGGATCAATGGGTCTTGTCTGGCTGGTGCTTTCTTACGCAGAGTGGCTAGTGGCACTATTTTGACTGCAAAGACACTCCACTCTCGTTCTTTAACTCTCGCTCATTAACTCTCGCTCATGCTTGGATGATGATGCTGATGATGATCATCATGGTGGTGGTCATGATGGTGGTGGTGGTGGTGGTGGTGGTGGTGGTGGTGGTGGTGGTGGTGGTGGTGCCCGTGCAGTGGTGGTGCCCGTGCAGTGCCGGTGCCAGTGCCGGTGCCGGTGCCGGTGCCGCCAGTGGTGGTGCTGCTGCAAGCTGCTCAGGATCCTGGGGCTGTCTCTCTACCTGACACCTATTATGGCCTCCATCATGGGTAGGCTGATACTGGTTATTGCCATCTTTTCAATGGTGCCGTTGCTACTGAAGAAGTTGCCGCAGCGCCATTCAGGGTCTTTCTGTCTGTTGTATTCTTGGCTTCGATGGTACAGAGGAAGATGATTGAAACTGCAAGCATGGACTACAAACTGTACTTTACTGCACAGCCTCACGGGAAAAAAAAGGAAAGGAAAGATCCAAGGTCATCCAGGAAGCTGTCTCCCGGAGTGATTTGAGCTGGTGCGGGTTTTGGACTCCGAAAAACTTCCTGAAACACAAGAGGAGCAGCATTGACATGGACATGCAGAAAATACGTAGCCCGGCAAATGCACAAGGTTGCAATTTTGCAACAGAACTCTTGAGGCGTAATCAGTCATAAGCCGATCAGCGCAAAGTTATGCTGTCTTCTGGGAGCATGTGGATGCAATCATGAAGGCATTAGTGGCTCATTCGCATTGGACACAAGATCGCTAACTGGAGCCAAGTGGCCTGCTCATGAAGTCAGGGACACTCCTGGCAAGGGCATTCACCATCCAGTACACACAAACAGCTTACGAACGACGTCACATTTGGCAGGAAAGACCTGGGGCGCGCAGTCCAAGTCCTAAAATCAAACTTATGGGCTGGGACTGTACCTGCACTGCGTGCTGTCAGCACGTCAGAACACCCTCACTCATGTTGCACTCGTTGCACCGTGGCCGACCAAAGCTGCGATTCAACATCACCCTTGGCGCAAATACCCTAAACCCCATACCGCTATCTACCCAGAACCCTGCAGCCCCCAATATCAGTGAAATTTCTCTCCCATTCGTCAGCCTGGCTCGCCGGATCTTGTCCTCAGGAAAGTTCGACGGGCTCGGGTAGTGACCCGGACCCGGGCTGGTCACATCGTCCTGGTCAATATGACAGGAACTTCCATCATTCTTTTTCGTGTGGAAACAGCCTGTGCTTGTCTTCTTCCTGGTTGCATCTAAAAGATACTTCAGCTTGTATAACTTGGAAGAAAGACGCGTCAATCGCCCCCGACCTGGCCTGATGCATTTGAGGTGACATCTGGTTGCAGGGGTTCAAGGCCCCAATTCAATGCATTTCCGGAAGCGCCCGAGCGAACAGGGTTCAGCACAGAAGCCTTGCTTACTTCTCTCACGCTCAGAAGCTCGTACCTTTTGCATGGCATGAGCTCCTACAGACCTGCCTCAGGTTACTGTGAAAGTCTATGAGAGGCTTCGTCAAGCCCCGGACCCCATCAGCGAAGCGGGCCGTGGCGGAGCGGAAAGCCGGAAGAAGCCTGTCATGTCCACATGTTCTGCATAGGGGCAATCTACAGAAACTGAAAGCAGGGAATTTGCTGTGAAACATCTTGCTATGTAGTGACTGTCATGTTCTGAACTGGGGCTGGAGAGCTTCCTTTTAAAACTCTGTTGTACTTGTAGCGCCAGAATCGCCAAGTCTTCTGAATCCTCCACATGGTAGGCCTTGGTCTCAGCGAAAGTACATGATAACAACAAGCAGCCGGTTAAAAATGCATGCATAGTTGTATTATGGTGATTTTCTAGCCAAAAAAGCATCAAGATGCATGCAGGGCATGTTGCCAGAAACGCAAACGTTCCTCGCAAAGGCACCTTGCCTTTTCGGCAACTCAATACCATCCCACCTATTCCTATAAAGCTCTTCAAACTCCCAGACAACCTCCTTTTAGAAGTACGCACTCCTGAAATCGTGAAGTATCAAATCCCAAAAAAACCTTGTTCTCCCTACCAAGCTCCTGATCTGGTTACTCCGAAATCCTACAAACCTACTACATATCCCCAGGAAATCCCTACTAGGTAGACCCGTGATTAATAAGCCCCCTCCTTTTGAGGGCCTTAACATTAGGATCCCTACTATTATCCCTATTGAGGGGAGTGGATTTGTTAATCATTGTTCTGCACTGACCCCTGCACAGCCCCTACGTTGCAATTGTGCTACTCCCAGGCGCCTATCGACACTGGTCTTGACAGGAGGCTCGGCAAAGTACCTGGCAGTTGCAGCTGGCCTACGAGGCCAGGAGCATTCTCAAAATTACGGCCCCCTTTTGGTCACAGGGTATATTAGTGCACCTTACATTTGGGGCTAGCAAAATCTGACCCTAATTTTGGGAACTAATCCCGTCCGTGGAAATTCAAATCTTCAATCCAGCCGAAACGCGCAGATGACCTTCCAAATTGACCCGGACCCTTCTGTACACCTCATACAGTAAATGGACTACTAGCCCCACAGTTTGGACTCATGGTCTCATCTGCCAAGGCCGTATTGATTTTTGCATGTCCTTCCTGCTTTGGCACTGTGCGGGCTTGCGGGCTTCACTTGTCGGGATAGGCAAGTATCCCCAAGCGCACGTCGCGGGCCCAGGAAGCATGGCCGGAGAAAAAGACTTTGGGAAGAATGCAGTTGGCACCCTGGGTTGACAAGTTAAGGTTTAGAGGCCCTTGGCTCATCCAGTGCGTTGGGGAGCTTTGGTTTGGGAGGCAGGCGGCATTTGCTCACTTCATGCGTTGGGAGCTTGGACTTCACGGCTTCAAATTATACAAGAAGCGCACCCCACCTATGAATTGCCGAATTATGCATGAAAACAAAAATAACATGTTGAAATAATCCTTAGGACTATACTAAAACAATAATTTAAAATAGTTCCTAAAAAGACCACAGCTTTTTGCTGCTTGAAATAACCCCTCCCCGAATGTTCAACCCCCCTACCATTAAATACTCCCCACATATTGGTGCATTATGATACATTTGGAATATCTAATTTTAGGATTGGGTGGAGGGGTTCAGTATTGGGAGGAGGGTGTAATTTCAACCAGACTGGTCATCCCTGGCTTACTTGGAGGACTCTTATCATAAAGAGATAAAAGGATTTGTGAACCCCCACCCCCAAAACTAGGACCCTATGACTACCATATGATGGTTATAGGGTCTTAGTTTGGGGGGTTGGGGTTACCAAAATGCTCTTATTTAGGTTGCCGCGGGGCGATCCCCTAAATTCGGAAAATGCTGATTGCTCTCTGACTGCCCATCAAAAATCGAATCTCATGCTGTGGTGCTGCTGCACTATGGATCCTAGCTGCCCAAAACCACCAAGAAAATGGCAAACGCCCATCTCCCATGGTCGTGGCAGCCCCCATGCAAGCTTCAGCTGTATTGCGCAAGAATTGTAAACACATCCCGGCATGAGAAATGCTTCCACCAGGGAGCTTGCTGGAGGCAAATGCGGTCGAGCAGTGCCTGAGGTTCTCCGTCAATGATTATAGCTTTCAATTTCAAGAATGGTTCTTCATACAGCTTGACTGAAGGTTCTCCATGGGGTGTTCATCAAGTTCCAAAATCTGGGAATGTTCTTATCTCTGTTTCCCTCCCGCCTGGCTGTGACGCATGCAGGGTAATCAGATGTCCCAAAAGTCAAGCTTCTAATTTAGGACCTCCATGAAAAGATAAAAGGTCCACTGCCCTGGCTTCGAGTCGGGAGCCCTGCCACAGACGTTGACCAAGTCAGAACAAAGCTAAATTCCAGAAAGCTCACATGTTTGGGAGGCGTTGCTGGCTCCCAATCGACTCGAGCTACAGCATGCAAATGCCTTCTTACACCAGCTCAGGGTTCGCGAGGCGTTCGAAGATCGTCCAGATCCAATCTGGCGACAGCTCGTCCCTGCCTGTTTGTACGCTTGCCAGGTCCCGCAAGGCCTGAATCTCCGTCAGGGCGATGGGGTGACCCTCCTCGTCATGGAACAATCTCTCCGTGAAGTCCTGACAGCTCATGGAGGTGTCCACTTCGAGGATGTCTTCTTTGGCAACTGCCTCGTAAATGGTCCAGAGGAAGCTGCTTTGCAGTGTCGGGGCTTGCTCATCGCTGCAAGTCGTGGAAACCTCTGAGAGCCGCAGTATCTTCTTCTCGGTAGCCGCAGGCCCCTCCTGCTCCTCCAGCTTTCTCTTGAACTGTGCGAAGTCTGCGTCCAGATTCGAAAGCCTGGCATCGTTCTCTTGCTGTTTTCTGACCATTTTTTCTTTCATTACCCTGAGTCCTTTGCCCAGCGTGACTGTCGCCTGCTTGGTGAGGAAGAAGCTGGTCTTTGGCGAAATTGGTGACAGATTGAGCAAAAACTTCCACAGGGCATCCCAATCTCTGGGCAAGTTCGCGGCCTTGCCGGATGCCCTGTGGAAGTTGTTTGTTCAATCTGTCACCAATTTCGGAACAGACGAGCTTCTCCGTCACCAAGCAGGCGACAGTCACGCTGGAATTTGTCGCCGATTTCGCCAAAGACGAGCTTTTTCTTCTAGCCGTGGAGTCACGCGATGGGTGGCAGCATCGAGGAATCTGGCAGCCTGAAAGATGGAACCTGAGGAAAATCCAATTGCTACATACTACATACTAGCATGCTCACATGCTGCCTTTGCAATTGCTGCGCCTGCTTTGGTGTACAGTAGCCTGCCCGGTAAGCTCACAAACCTCAGAGACTTGGGCTCCATCTATCAGCTCAATCAGTCAGCGACAGCCCAGGTTGGATACATGCAGCATGCAAAGGGGCTTCCCAGCGCGAAAAACACATTTTCGTATGTGTCCTGACCACTCATTTTGCGCAAGCACGCAGGAAGTGTGTGGGGAGCTCGTTTGTCGCCCTGCTGGCCTCTTTTTCAGGCTGGATTTGCATCACGCTAGCACGAGACCCTTAGAACCCTAAGATTGCAAGAATGGTGGCATCAATCCGCGAACCTGAGAGGCGCGCACTATTTGCTTACACATCCCACACGCCAGGCGCAGAGGCCCAAGCAGTCATCAGTTAGTATCTGAGCCCTCCCTCGTGGAAAATCAGAGTGAAAAGACACACACACGCACACACACACACACACACATACATATTTGAAACCTCACCACCTCAACACTAAAAACCGAGGACCTGCTCGCCACCTTGTGGCAGACGCTACAAGTCTCGAAGCCCTGAACCCTTTGAACATGACAATAGTCCAAAACTTCCCTGAAAACCCCAACAGCGCTCTCCATTCACACCATCCTTCCCATGTCCTACAGATGTCCTACAGCTACATCCATCGAACTTAGGGGTCTTCGGGTCTTCGGATGTCTCATCGAACTCGTCTTCGGGTCTTCGAAGGTTTTTTTCTTGCGGGTTCTTCGTAGGGAACAAAGGGACATAATCCTTGTATAGCCCCTACATAATCCCCATATACATATATTCCCTTCTTCCTTTATCCCCATATACATATCTTCCCTTATTACCTATTAACCCCAATATATACCCTGTTATAATAACCCCCACATCACCCCCCCATTCGTAAGTTTTTGGGTCCAGGCTTCGGCACGTCAGAGCCGAATCCTGGCGGCTCCATGGGCGGGCCGCCCCCGCCGGTGCCTGGCCATTGGCAGAGCTTGGCAGCAGCAAGGGCAATTTCAGGGTTTTAGGGTTAAGGTTTTAGGGTTTTCGGGTTGGGGCGGGGGGGCGGGGGGGGGGCGTATTGGGGTTACGGGGTTCAGGGTGGTTTAGGGTATAAAAGGTTTGCATATAAATGGTAATTATGGACCTGGATTTAGGGTTTAGGGTTTCCCCGTACAAGTAATCCACATGGGCTACTGCTTAGGGAACCACATGGGCTACTTAGGGAATATGTTAAGGACTAGATGTACATAGACATGGTCGTCTCCCAAGATAGGAGGGCCCCAATATAGTGAAAGACCCCCAAATCCTATGGCCCTATGGTCAATATTCTACGGACCCCGAACGAGGTACTGATAATTTTGGGAAGCCTCCATATATATTATTAGCCACACACCCAAATTTGTGCAAAACGCATGCAAGCATAAAGTACAATACACATAGTATCAATGTTGTGGAAATGGGTGCGCGCGCTCAGGCATACAATACAAAGATACACAAGTGGAAACCAAGGTACTTTGGCGACTATCCTCTCGAAACTGTAGAAATAGCATTGTCGGGCAATTTTCTGGGGGTTATCGAAGACTTCTCAAAGAAAGGTCCCAGGGTGTACTGAGCAGCTACGAGTAAGTGGCGTTTCAGGGAATACCGAGGGGAAAAGAGCCCGCTCTTTTGGCAGTGCCCCGAAAGGCCTCCCGGAAGGCGCAGTGGCAAATCCACCTTCACCGGCTCGTGCTCGTAGGTCCCAGGGCCCGGATTGTTCTTCAAATGCGGATTCCCTGGGCTCGCTGTTGGCTTAAGGGGGCTGAGTCAGTACAAGGGTGAGGGTGTCAAGGTTCTAAGATCCGTCAGTTGGTTTATGTCTTGCTTGTGGGCGCCGGCACGATGGCTCTGGTCTTTAGGCAACCTTCCACACGTGCTTCTGACAACAACACTGCGTTCCTCCCTGATCTTCTGAAAGTTCGTATTTCTTGAAGGACATTAAAATTGGCCAGGGCACCCCAGGTGGCCTTGCGCTCCGAGGCTGCGGCGAAGTGGACCTGGACAACGCTCAGGATGCTTGATCGTGTCGGGTATTCTTGAACTGAAGGGTTGTATTGTATCATTCTGAGGGGGTGGGAAAAAAGAGAAAGACAGAGAGAACGAGAGAGAGAGAGAGAGAGAGCGAGCGAGCGAGCGAGCGCAAACAGACTCTCACTTCGGTCAAGATGATGTGGGTTTTTCTCGCAACCAGGCACTCTACGAGTAAAGAAAAGCTGCACTGCAGAAAAGCAAGGAAAGCCCTGATTACCAACATCTTTTGTGACCCTGCGCCTCACGCTTGCCACGGCCGATCTCCAGGCTCTGCATGCCTCGCCATGCCAAGAGTCTGCGCAAGTAACGGCTGAGGAGGCTAATTGTTGGGGCCAGAGGAGCGGACCCATGTGGTGTCAGGACCTTCATGGGAGCACAGGCCAACAGATCCAGATGCTGGAGACAGAAGCTTAGGGAAATGCGCAAAGCTGCAGCCCATGCGCACCATGAGCCTATTCCACACGGCTTGTTTCTTTGACTTCGGCCAGGCAACTCGACAGTGAAGAGGCCAACATGAGCCAACCGCTTCGCCCTCAACTCCCTTGACAACCCGGCACCAACACAGTCCTAGCGCCTAGCATGAAGACTGCCCCCCTTGCGGTCATCAATGTGATGTTGTACTGTGGGCGCCGGTGCACACTGCCTAAGACATGCATCAAAATCTCTGAAGCTTTTGCGCGCAAAGTGGCTATACGGGTCCGGCGTGTCCCCAGGCTCGCCAGTGAAGTTCCAGTCAGATCGACCCTCGGTGCGGAGGTCTTGGGCAAGAGGCGGAGAGCTTGAGCATGATGCACGGATTCTGGGTCGCCAAGGGGCGACACAAGGATTCCACGTACTGAAGGGCTTCTGCACGCTTTAGGATCCAGAATTGGGGGTGCCTTGTTCTATCTTCCTACAAAATGGAGGATCGCAACTGACTCACACGAAGCCAGGAATCAACGACGGCATTGCAAGTTCCCTGATTGCGTCCCTTGCGGTAGCCTGGCCCTGATTGCACCAGTAGCCAAGGAACACGGAGCGGCTTGATCGCAGGCTCCGTCCTAGGCACGAGCATCCAACGCTAGTGTGGAATTTCAATATTTCCTAAGCGAAAACTGCACAAGCAAGGCCCGGGCACTGGAGAAGCAACAACCGCAGCATCATGCAGCCCATGCTGGACCAGAAGCTTTGATCGAACACGGCAGGCTAGGGGTGCGGCTGAGTGTGTAGCCGAATTCCCTCCTTCATTGCCTGGGCTCTTGTCAGGCAAAGGCCGGCTGCGGATTGTTCACAAACAATTCTGTTATGTCATGGACTGGATGGAAGATCTCTTGGTGAAAGCTTTAATCCTGTTGTCTATATACACTGGACAGTTGGCCAGACAGAAGTCCTGCCCTCGTGGGCACATGTGGGCACTGTCACAAGGAGTGCAAGAGCACGCGCCCGAGGAGGTCAGCGCTGCGTGGCAAACAACATTGCAATCATTTGCTCAGTCAGCCAAGCCCCTCAAGAAAGCTCGAACAGCGTCTGAGAGTAAGTGCTACGAACGCGAACAACTTTTCCAAGCACTGCAGGCTCCAGACAAAAGTGCGTAGGGCCACCAACAACCTATTGGCATTGGAAGAAACCATCTGGCACTCTCGACTCTCCATAAGAACCGGCCAATGCGGGTTGAGCCCACGCCAAGCCTGGGCAACCTAAAGCCTATGCCCTGGTGCCTGCACTGCTCGGTCCGCGCCCCAATCCAGCTTCCCAGGTCGGCTGCGCTCGTAGACACCGCCTGCAAAGACAGCGTGGGCTTTGTGGGGATTCTGTGGGTAATCCAGCCGCTCTTCAAGAGTGCGCACACAACAAACTCTAGCCCAAACAGCTCCGTGAAGCCGTGTACCGGTACAACCTAAGACTCTCAAACTCTGACCCTGGGGGGCGTAAGATCTTCAGTCACATCCTCCACCATGCTCTGGAAGACGAGCCTGTGTCGGGCCTCAGGTCCAAGGGATCCCGCAGATCTGGCTGCCCGGGGCCAGGATTATCCAGAATGCTGGAGGCCACGAACCAGTTCGAGCCTTGCAGGCGAAGAGTGGGGAAGGGATGAGCATTTTGGGGGAGCTAGTTTTCGGCGAAGCGAGGACAGCTCAACTCGGAACAGCCAGGGCCCCAGCCAGGCACGAAGGTCGGCTCTCTGAAGTTCTCCGGGTCGCAGCGCGAGGTGCTGGAGCGAAAGGCGCTGCGGCTGGCCTCCATGGTACATAGCGGGCTTTTTAACAGTTAACGGCCCTGCAGGAAGAAAGCTCAATAATGAAAGCCGGGTCGCTGTGAGCGACTGCGTTGGCCGATCTGGAATTGCATCTGTGGCCAGCCGCCGTACGGCGTACTGCCCGGGACCTGTGTCAGCTCCAACTACTTGGCAAGTCCACGGCACAAGAACCGCTCAGCACCCTGGTCTCAACATGCCTTAACCAACATGGAACCTGTAAATGCCCTTTTGACAGGACAGCAGCCTACGAGAGAACCTTTTCCAGATTCCGTGATTTCTTCAGCAGCAAGTACTATAAGGAATCTGCGTCGAAGGTCTGGGGAGATCTCAATGAGGGCGCGGGATATATTGACGTTCCATCTTTTGTGACAAGGGATAGCAGAAGCCTGTGAAATTGAAGGCGGATATCCTTGAACATATCCTCCATAGTTATTATTCTCAATTCGTAGAGCCCTTCCCCAAGCAGTAAACAAAATTGGGTGGGAGGACGGTTGTGCAAACCGCCTCATAACCGATATAGCCCCCTCTGTTGCTATTCGTCCCTAGAATTCTGCCCATCATACGTACCTAAAAAGTACCACGATGCTTGCAAACCCGTTTTACATGTTGCAAGGACCTTGAAACCCCACAACACCATATGCAAATCTACAACAAGAAAAGCTCTCCACTCCGGCTAAGAAGGCCCTACAAAACAATTAGAAGCCTACAATAAAAAAGACCGCAAACCCTTCGAGCGAAAATACATGATCCACTTAGAGCATGGCCTGGCAGATCGGGGGAGTCGCGGCTGAGGCTCGGCCTCCGGGGCTTTGCGAAGTCCAAGGAGCTCTGGTGAGACCAAACTCAGAGACTGGAAGAACTGGTTCCCAGCCCAGTGCTGAGGATACTGGAATTTAAGGGCTGCTTGCAGCTACTTATGGCTACTTGTTGCAGGGCGCGGCTCTGCTACATGTCCCTCTTCCGGGCAGTCATGAATCATGGTAGCACTGTGATAATTTCAGTTAAACCATTGGCAGCGATCGCAACAGGGGTGGCTGGCGCTGGCCTGCCGCCAACCCCAAAGGTGCAGGTCTTCGGAGGTGGCAAGCGTGGATCATAGGTGCCCGGCCCCACGTTCCTTGCTGGAAAGCTAGCATGTACCCATCAGTCCTTCCGAACAAACCTGTTACGGTCCCGTGGAAGCCTCCAACCGCAAAAGATCAAGCCGCGGGAGTCACACAAATACTGGCTTGATTGTAGTGGCATGGTGACCTCGAGGGGTGCAGGTTGATTACTTCATGTTCTTAGCTCGGCTTGAATGCATACCCCAAAGCAGAAGTCTATGGCATGTTGCAGCGGACCCTCAATACTACGCGTGCAGGTGGGATGAATGAGAATAAGGAGATTACTGGAGTTCGGCGTTGAGAGTAACAGCTCAAAATCACAGAGAATCCCTTCTGCCTCTTGGAAAGCTCACGGGTGCAAAATCGGAGACATGGCCGCCAAGTTGCGGGGAGCCTATGACAAAGCATTCAGCGATGACGTCACGCTCACGGTGCCAGGAGGCCAGAAGCGCCATAGGCCCCGGAAGGCCCAGGAGGATTGGCTGCGCACCCAGGACTGGGGTGAGTCTTCTTAAAAAAACTGGGCTGAATATAGAATTGCTGTTCTACATGCGCTTGACTTAATTACTAGCACAAACAGCGGACACCCGTTGAAGATCGTGCGTCTTGAGGCCGATCCCTACCTCGTTCAGAGCCCTTGATTCTTGAGGGTCTGGGGTTACACGTTTGGGGTTACAGGGTTTCTGATTGTCGGGGCTCCGTAAATCATTTCCATGCGCCCACACCCCTTGATCCCCAGCACTACGGCAAGTCAACAGGAATCATAGCTTGGCCAACACTACTGCACCTTGTCGCTGTGGGAAGTATGTTAGTTGGGCACTGAACAGCAATGAATGAATCAATCAAGGTAAGGCTGGCTACGTAGCATCGACACGTTTGTGCGCAAAAGTAAGTAGCGGTAGCACTGTGAAGCTGGAATGAACCAAAAAATGTGGGATGTTGCTGTCCCGAATCAACAGCCCCGGGAAGGGATGAAGGGTTCACAGACAAAGCTACGAGCTTGGTGGTACATCCCATATGCTACATACTCCAAACAGCTCGGCATAAGCTAATGGCAAACTGCACCTGTTAGCTTAGCCTGCAGGTATCATAGCTCAGCTGGGCTTGCTTTGTTGGTTGATACCTCTTGCCTGGCATCACCTGAAACGCCTTGAATAGCTGAACCTCACGCAAGCAGAACCTAGAAACTGTGGCTCTAGTTTCGAGAAGGCAATACTAGCAGGAACCCAAATCCTGAAGGCACATCATCACCTTTTGCTGCAAGCGCCTGGGCGGATGCACTGAGCTTGCTGCCGGGGTGGCGTGCTGGATCGTGGCGCTGAGAACGCGCAACCAAAAGTTTAACGCAGTTCTTATTCTGGCGGGTTTGGCTGGATCAGAACCTTGATCGGCTCTCCAGAGGCAAAGTGCTCAAAGGCAGACTGTGCCTCTTCGAGAATGTATGTCTTCGAGATCAGTGCCTTGAGGTTAATCTTGCCACTTGCCACAAGAGCCAGGGCTCGCGGATACAGATTGCAGTATCTGTAGACCCCAATGAGGTCAATCTCGCGCCGGCATGCCAGCTGCAGGTCGACGGGAACCGTTGGCGCCATGTTGGCGACAACACAGACAATGCCGCCAGGCATCGCTGCTTGAATACATGTGTTCCTGGTGTGCTGCTTACCCTCTTCACAAAAAAAAAACGGCAAAATCCTCCCAAAACGCAAGGAGACCAGCAAAAATGCAAATTCTAAACTTAAGGCCCCATCAGACTACAAACGAAAAGCTTCGAACTGTAAGCGTAAGAGACATCAACACGAATTTTGTGTTGGGCCCGGGGGAAAGCCTGAACCGAGGAGCAGGGCTGCTGCAACGCCGCAGCATTCGAAGCAGACATCAAATTTATCGCCGGTGCATTTCCTTACCGCGTGGCAGGTAGCGCTTGAGCTATCTATGTCAAACATTCTTCCAACCGCCTTGTGCTCAAATTTGGGGTTTCTTCTGAAATGCACTGTGTCACCAAGGTGTCCCTACGAGCAAGCAGTCCTCACGAGCGGCAACTGCACAATGATCGTGTGAGCAGGGGTTCATAGAAACCCTGAAAGGCCCTGCATTTATCAGCTTGACAGGAAGCAGCCATGGGATGTTTCTAGGCCAACGACAGTTCCAACAGCGCCGGACAGCTAGCCTTGAGCTCATTCTCTTGGTATTTCTTGGCGCAATTTTGCCATAGCCCCAGGAGGGATGTACCAATGCAGAAGGAGCACCAGCATAACTGAAAAGGTAGAGACACAAAACGCCTGACTAAGTCACAGCATCCTGGACCCGATATGGCTGCATCTCTAGGAACGTGATGCCATGCCTAACATAAGACAAACAGGATGTCAAAGACCCTACATCAGTCAGTCAAAACCTGTGCGACTAAACACAAACATCTGCCTGAGCGTCTCCAGCTCCGAGCACAGCTCGGGCATGTCTGCCTTGAGCGTGAAATCTGCACCTTGATTTGTCCACCATTCCGCTTTGTCAACACGCCGTCCAAAAAATGCCACTGCAATCCCAATCACTGCCAGAGACCCAGATGAGTTGTTCCCTTTCATATCTTTGTATTCTTCTTCAGTTTTTTCAGATGACGCGCAGCCCGGCGGAGCCAGTCTTTGCCATAATCTCGCCGAATGCAGCCCAGGGCTCCAGGCTGTCAAGCTGTGGGGTCTACTACGTCTCTGCGGTCTTGAAATCAAGGTGTGAGGAGAACATTTTTGCTAGATCAGAATGTCAACACCCTGTCTACCCCGAGGGAAGCTTCAAAACTGACAAGGTATGCACCTCGCAGCATGCAACCGAGATGCCGATCTCTTTGGCCACCGTCAACTTCGACCTAGGCTGCCAAGTCCCAAGAATTCCGGCTCGGACTGAAAGAGACTGCGAGCAACTCTAGTAATCTACGAGGTTGCAGCTTGCAAGCATTGGACTTGGCGACCGTGAATGAAAGTTATTTTCAAGGACAAGCGCACAACCTGCCGAGAAACGAGTCCGAATGCACTTCTCAGCACGTTCTGCAGGGAGGCTTCTCATACCATACTCGCATCTGTCTTTATCAATGGGCAATTGAGGGGCTCCACCATATCGGTGATGGTGACGGTGGCGGCTCCTGCGGCCTCGCCAGTAGGGTTGGTTTGGCAGCTTGAGCGTTCTGGTTTTTCTGCGAGGATAAGAAGCTTTTGAAGGAATCAGAATAGCAGTCTTTCCACTGGTACGCGCCAAGGATCCGCTGTTTCATTTAGGGCTTGCAACTTGAAGGTTGGGGCCGGGCGGTTGCCACGACCGCAAGGTCTTCGGTTCCTACATAAGCTGCGACCAATGGAGGTAAGAGTACCTTAACACAAAACAGACACACACACACACACACACAGAGAAGCTCACCCTCAGCCCCTGCCAAAAAAAGCCACCCAACTGTAGGAAATCCCATGCTGATCCCCATGTACCTCATGAATGCTCCCCGTCCCTCGACAACGACTCTAAACCTAAGCGCACCATCAAACAAACCACGCTTCTCAGCTCCTTGGCGCACATGGCTGTCATCAGCCCTATGGGTCCGGCGCCGCTGACGAAAACATGCTGGCCAGGGCCCACCTACCCAATGGGGGCATAAGCCCGCACACACATTACGACATTGCGGCCCGAAGTGACATTGATGTTTGTCGCGGGGCCTTGGCGCGGGTGACCGCCTGCAAGGACACGCAGAGCGGCTCCAGCCTTGCAGCCAAATGTCCAGTTTTCTGTGGCAGGCCGAGGTGTTTTTGAAAGCACATAGGCTAGCATTGTCGCGCCGAATATGCAAATCCTAGATAACTCCCAAAGCCGATTCCTGCACATGTCCTCGCCCCAAGGATCCAACATGATCCACCCTATTGCGGTGTGCAGCTCTGACGTGTTTACCTCCGGTTTCTGGGGCGGCAGCATGGCACCCTCCTGGAGACTGACATTTTCAGGCAGCTTGTAGCAGTAGGAAGCCTGCCAGAAGGAGATGTGGCAAATTTAGATCCACATATTCCATGCTTGAATAGACGTGCCAGAAGATCGACATACTTGTTTGGCGGGCGTTCAGAGTGCGTTTGGCACCTGCCCACAACAAAGCTGTATTCAGGCAGGCCATAGCAAGGCTCAGAAGTTTGCCGGGGGCATGCGAAACGCCGTCATAAGACTATGATAGCTCAACACTACATGCGATTTTGTAGCGCTCACCTATAGGAACGATACGGCGCCCTTCCCACAAGCCTTGTGGTTGAATCTTCTGCACATTGCGCCGGGCACCTCAGCCACAGGTCAGGGTCTAGGGTCGGGAGCCCAGTTTTGTGGCGCTTCATGGCTTATGGAACGGACTCAAAAAGAAACCCTCTACGCTCAAGTCTGTAGCTTTGAGCTCATGTGATCTCACGTCAGCCATCGAGCCTGAGTCTTGAACCTTCAACCTTTTGCTGCTGGACTTGTTCAGGCGCCAGCTCTCTGGCCGAAGCATCCCGTTGGTGAGCACTACTGGCTCATTCTCCAGATTTGCCGAAGCCAACTCTCAGGATAGAACGCAACAACCATTTGACCATTGACAACATCAAGTTTAGGCTTCAATTGTGCAGCCCTCCAAGAATTCAGCACTGGCAAGTACCCTCACAACTCAACTCCCCAACCATGACTGCGAGGCATAAGAAGGACCTCAGCATGAGAAGGCGCTGCACAAGCTCATCGACAGACTCACCACCAATGCTGTCTCCCAAAGGCCATTGCATGAAGTTATGAATTTCCCTTGAAACAGTTCAATTTCTGTGCCAGCTCTGCACAGGCCGCCTACAACCTTGCATCAGCCATGTGGCGCGGTTGACCGCAGAGCCGATGAAGCGCATCTTGGGACCTAGAGGCAAAGTCCGCCCCTGCAATCCGAATAATCAGACCTGTTGCAATAACTTCAGTATGTAAAGGTTAACATCACTAGTGGCAAGAACCAGCGAAGAATAAGGAAACCCGTCATCATTCTTCACATTGCTGTGCCCCGTGAATGATTAGCCTTGACTGCTGAGGTTGTCATCCGCGGCCCCGGTAATGGGATTGATTTGTCTGAACAAGAGCTCAAAGCTGACAAGGCTTTTCCCTTCTCAGTGTTGCGCTGGACGGGTAAAAACTACAATGCTCCCCCCCCTTTCTTGGCGAGCCGAAAACTTTCAGGAATTGTCAGCATACCTCCTCCACGCCCATACTTGCGCACGTCTGAAACTCTCAGCTAGGAAAAGGAACCCTGAACCCTGAATCCACTGGCGAGGTGCACAGGTTGTAGCGGCCAGCACGGCAAATTTTGCAGTCAGAGCCTGAACTTGCTTGGCGAAAAGAATGTAGTAGTCAGTAGGAGTCATGCCACAATGACATACATCAAGCCAAACGGCATAGCATCAGAGGCAAAGATGAAGCACTGCCCTAGGGATTCTCCATGTCGAGACCTGCATGGGTCGCCTGAACTTCTGAGGCAATTTCTGACAACCAATCGCATACCAACAACCTGCGCAGGCTCAATCCGGACGGTAAATCCATGAATCCAGACTGTCACGGTGGCCTCTGCACGCTAGAGCTCACTTGAGCATGATTTTCTGAATCTTCACCCTTTAGCGACCCAACAAAACGTGAAGCCCCGGCAACTATGTTCCTGCAATCACAAAAACAACCCTAGTTTCATCTGGGGCGTACTTCTCTTAGCTGCGCTCCGTGCCACCCTTTTGTATTCCATATTCCTTACTCGCAGAAGAACTGCATTGCGATGTGCTTAAGACTATCGTTTGTCTTATCTGGCGTTGGCACATGAAAAGTTCAAGACTATCTAACAACTCAGACGTAGAGGAACCTCCTTGACTCCTAAGCCTTTCAACTTTGGCGAGGTGGCACGGCACTCCGGGCTCCAGCGCCACGCGGTCGCCAACTTTCAGGTTTGTAACCTGAGCTGTCAATTGAGATCATACAGGGACCGGGCAGGGCAACACTGGAGCTACATTTCAGGGCGAGCACACAAGATTTTTGCAAAGATTACATCAGCGAAAATATACCTTGCTTGCAGGGTTTCAGTTGAGCGGAGGGTTCTCATCTTCTTCAGTTAGAACTACTTGTAGGAAAGTGCATAATAAAGCTTCCAGCAACGTGAAGGGCACTGACAATCATTACAGTCATCCTGCATTATGCTGTGAACCAGCATGAACATCATGGGAGAAGTATATCCTGGCTATACATTTCTGAAAGTTGGGCTTCTAGGGCACCTGGGACCTGCAGGGCCGTGTGAGCCTGAAAAAGCTTCCCACGCAGCCAGCCCTTTGGACCTTTCAAGAAGCAAAGTGAATCAGCAAAAAAAACCTTCTCGGTATAATCACTTAAGCGCAGTGGCATCTGAACCTAGAGCGCGAACAGTGCCAGAGCACTCATGCCCCATCTGCCCGCAGTAGCCTTGCAGCGATTCCACGAGGACCCAGCAGAAGATGTATGAACTTTGACATGGCTACTCTGGATCTTTCTGTGTCCCAGATGGACTTCTTGTCAAAAACGCACTGATGATCCCTGTACCTCGTCCGAAGATGTGGACAGAGTTACGACTGCAAGTAGCTGTTAGCTATCAGAC